TAAGCATTTAATTAATGACTTAGCATATAAATGATGCAGCATATGTGACCTTGTCCCTCTCTGAACTCCCGTAGCACACATTCGCTGTACTCCTCTGGGGCCCATTGGGGGCATTTTCTCCCAGGGATTTCCACAGTTTATAGAATTGTTTCATTGCCCCTATTCATATTCAGTGTTATCGCTGAGGGTATTCACATATTTTGGAGCAGATCGGGATTTAAATCCAGACATTGCAATTTATTAGCTGTATGACTTTGGGCTTATTACTCAACATCTCTGAGCTCAGTTTCTGCATGTGAAAAATGGGAAAAAAAGTAATTTTCTGTTTTATGAGATTAAATGAAATATATTAAAATTGATAGCATTTAGCAGATTCTGGGTTAAAAGTACATTTCAGTGAGTGAGTGAATGAATGAATGAATGTAGCGAGCAGAATATGAGTTTCCGTATTAAATCACTTGACAGTTTGAGACATATAAATGTCCAGAGTCGCAATTGTAAATGAGTCTAACACTCAGAATAGAACAATTGGTGAACTGTGGGAAAAATCCAATAGCAACAGGATATGTATGTTACCCAAATGTCATCTCAGACTTCCCACACTGAAAAACATCTTTTGCTTAGCCTAGAACCTATGTATGGCCTTCAGAAGGTCTACAAACCTGAAATTATAGACAACATTCTATGCAGACATGCATTTTCTAACTACTTCATAGATTCATCTGAGTTTCCAAATATCCCATAATCCTCTCCCCTACCCCCAAACATACACACACACACACACACACACAAATTAAGAACTGCTGGCTTAGGCAAGTCCCGTGACAGAAAGGGACCTGTCAACTGAGAGAGAAAAAGTTTATTTAATAAAACAAGGCTGCAATATACAAACATGCTATTTAGAAAGTATGGACAGTGGAAGTTATCCATGATGAGCACTTCAAACCAGAGAAAGAACTCTGAATTCAAGACTTGGCTTGGCTGCAAACTTGCTATAGGATTGTGGGCAAATCAGAGATCCCTGAAAATCAGAGTTAACGGAACCTCTGACATCATTTCCTCTACCTTCCTCCTCCTCTTCCCATCTCATAGATGGAGAAACTGCAGTTCAGAAAAAGGTCATGCCTTCACTAAAGTCATAGCAAATTAATTAGAGCCAGGATTTGAACCTCAGACTCAGAAAAATGATTTCCACAGTCTGTACCTCAGTATCATGAGGTCCAAGATAAGTGTTTAGACACAGTGGCCTCTAAGTTATCTTCTAACTGATGCATAATTACTACCCTCTTCTCTGGACGTGGAAATCTCACAAAAACATGAGTTTGGTTTTGGCAAACTCCAGCACTCCAGCTGCTTCTCAGTCCTAGCCCAGTCCCACAAGAATGAGGCAGAGAGAAGGTCTGAAAGATGCTGCTATTAATCTTGCATAGCACAGCAACTGGGAATTGCAGGCCTTGAACTAGATTTCACTATGTTGCCTATTGCTCTCCTGTCCTCTTGCTTATTAATCCTTCATCTGTTTTCTCTTTATTAATGTTCCCAGCTATGTGCAGTACACAGCCAGCTAGGAACTCATCCTTAGCTTCCTATAATTCACTGGATCAGAAAAGGGCAGGAGGTAGGTGGAGGAACTAATGGTGATGTCAGGGTCAAGTAATCTCTTTCAGGAAGGACTGTAGGGGAATCCACAGTCTCCTAATAAACACAGAGAGCAGAAGCCAGCCAGAATCCTCTATTCCACTGCCCCATAGAATTAATGAAGAAGGCTGGCATCTATATATGTTTTAAGGCCGTGTCACAATCCTGCACTGACACTGAGATTGGTTTTGCCTGAAAGACAATGGCTCATTAAATATTGGGAAGAGAAAGGACAGTTTATAGAAAGAAATTTTCTCTTAAAACAGAGATACAACTATGAAGTCAGAAGAAAGAATTCTAGACCAGGATCTGCCACTAATCCCACAGACAAATCAGATTTCTTCCCTGACTCCAAAATCTCCATCTCTGAAATGAAATAATTTGGCTAGATTGGTTCTTAAAGTCCCCTCTGACTTTAACATTCCGACCTCTGCTTACAGATCAATGACTCATCCTGAAAAAGTCAAACAACAGAACAGGAACCCATGGATGTTGCCAGTGGATAAGTTGACCAGATCCTCTAAAAAAGAGACCCAGATTAAGAAGTAGAGAAACATGGGAGAAGATGGATTTTTTTTCCTTTCTAACCAGAAACTGAATGTTGCTGGAGGTAGCATATGACCAATGCATAAATGCCCAATCACAGTGTATACATAATTCAAATTCTAACTGTTCTTATGGTATGTAAAAGAATCAAAAGCTAAATAGAAGAATAACAATTTTCACACACTGGCTCTCGAGAAGAGTAATAGGACTTTCCTATGACTTTAGAAAAGTGGCAACAGGAGGGAGAAAGGACTGGATAAGAAATAAAATCACAGATAATAGGACATTTGACTCAAAGTAATGCCAAGATCAACTGGTCCAACTCTATCTGTTGTTAGATGCTGAAATGGAGCCTGGAAGCCCAAAGTGACTCAGCCAGAGCTGGGATTAGAATTAGATTCTCACGACTTCTGGTTCACATAACTAACATAAAACACACTGCTTCACTCCCCAAAACAATGAGATTCTATCCAGGTAACTAAGAAAATATTTTCAATTATAACTACTGCCTCTACCTCCACCTCAAAAAACAATAACTGATTGATTTAAGGCCGACTAGAGCTGTTTCCATCAAATTATAATAAACAATTCACTCTAGCGATATACACAAGTCCATGAGAAGTAATTGGGTATTATTTAGCCTTGCTAATGAATCGCCCTGTGGAAAACAGAGATAATCAACGGTCTACAGGAGGTAGGAAGCCTGTTCTTTATCAAGTACAGAGCTTGCCTATTAAAGAACATTGGGTATCAGCTCTAAATAGTAAGCAGGGTATACCGTTTCAGATTCCATGAAGTGCAGCTTGAAATAGATTTGGTTTGGAAATGGGACAGAGAACACACCACAGTCAGTGGATCAACATTGAAAGCAGAGAAAAACAATGATTACACTCATTAAGTGGGTACCTGTTGACACATCTACTGTCAAGTCTAATTGTTTATTTAAACTGTTATTCTTTCTTCATTCCTGCCACTGATACCAATGATTACAACAAGATTTTTTTAAATTTCTACATCATGCCCCCAGAATATTTACTTTTCCACCTTCCAAAGGTTATTTGAGAAGTTTTTATCTTTCCCTCATCATCAGCTCCCACCTCCAAAATATAGAGGATGGATGGATGGATAGAGAGATAGATAGATAGATAGATAGATAGATAGATAGATAGATAGATAGATAGATAGAGATGAAATCCCTCTTTCTCAAGCGCAATTTTTCACAACCTTTCAAGGCTTGCTTAAATTCCTCTTTGTAGTTTCAAGACAGGTTTCAGTGGGGAAGGGGAGCATAGTTAACCACTTTTTAAAGCTGAGTCTATTAATATTTAATAATTAGCATTTGGAGAAAAGTTAATAACTGCATTTTCTAAATTAATAAGTTAGATCTCTGCCTAGCAGAGCTATCAAAACTATAATATTACATGTCTACAATACATTCTTTTCCGATATATTTATCCACAAAAATACATGAACTATATTAGAAAGGAGTTTTTTCAGGGGCATTTTATGGACTAGAGAGGGACGAAAAGATGAGCAGGAGCATTCCTATATTTTTGGCCATTACATTTTTTTTATAATCCTCTCTTTTGTAGGAATGAGAATAAAATCTAAACAACACACAAGTCACTGCTACGTCTGATCTAGTTATAGAGGAGTTTCACAGCCCATACGTCACCCACCTTGTCTGCACATGATGAGTGCTTATTCCATGTGTATGGTGAATATGAGCTTTGAAAACAATATTAATGAAACACTATCATCTCCACTTAATTCTAAATTGCTAACTCCTAAAAATATGGGGCAGTTCGAACAAACTTCAATTCTTTCAAGGGTCTGTGTAACTAAAGTCATGTTTACAATTCAAGATCATAGAAATAACAAACCAAAGGAATTATGAAAATATTCAGTAGAAAAATTGTTTACAGTACTTTCAATGCTGCCGTCAAATCTTCCACAAAGTTGCTATTCTACAGGGCCTGCAGTTAAGAACACCATATGGGCTACTTCACATTTTTTTGCCCAAGACTTCTAAAAGATGACATCGAACACAGCAGAGCTAACTGGGAAGTGCAAATATCAGCTGGCTAGCTGTAGGAGAAAATTCACATTTTGCAAATTTTAGAATTATCATATTGCCTTTAAATTTTTTTTTTATTGGTCTCTGTTTTCTTGACAAACTCAAAAAGAATGCATTCTTCTGCCAAAGACCTATCTCCTTCACACTAGTCCCCCAGGAGAGTAGCATGCAGATACTATGGGTCCGGGGTTTCAAAAGAGTCTAACTCATTTTCCATATTCTTAGGATTTTTTGTTGCTATTCTGCCTTAGATTATGTCTTTTTGTGATTTTTTTGGGCGGCTAAGAGACAGTGATGGATCCAACTAGTAAAGTTTGCCCCTTCAGAGCCAGGTAACACTGGCAGCATAGTATAGTGAAAAATGTACTCAATCAAGGGCCAGAAAGCTGGAGAGAAAGCCCTCCTGCCACACACTAGCTAAGGATACAAGACAATAGATAAGAACATCCTAGTACATGGCACATTACAGACTCTTAAATACTCGTTAAATCTGAATCTTCCGTGTTGATCAGATTTTTGTGCTTTTGGTATTAAACCTTAAGGGCTAAGAACTGAAAGGGAAAATTAAACCAAGAAGACATAAAAAGAGGGCCATGCTCTGTCTTGGCCATTGTTCAGGTTTTGGTGCTCATGAAATACCTTCGTATTTCTTCTGTTGGGAGTGAAATCAAACTTAAACGTTATTGGCTAAGATGCCTATTAGCATTTCATGAATATGAAGATGCCAATCCTCTCCTACCTCAGATAGCTAGCTCTCAGAATGGTCACTGGACACAAGGTTCAGCAAACTGCAATGCGAGGGTCTGGAAATGAAACAGGCAAAAGTTACTCTTAGGTACGAAACGATATTTATTCACTAATCATCATAAACTCTTATATCTATATAGCAGTTTCTTGTTTTGCAAAACATTTTCACATTCATTATCTCATTTCACCCCACAACAATCTGGTGAAGAAGCAGGAAGAGATTATTCTACTCACTTCATAGGTGAGGAAACAGAAGCTCACAGAGGGATAGGGAGGAAGACAAGGGATCTAACATCTCTCATAATTAACTTCACAAATACCATGTGAAATGAGTATTATTGTCCTCATTTTACAGATGTGGAAACTGAAGTTCAGAAAAGGTAGGTAACTTGCCCAAGACTACACAGTACAGTACATGGCAGGGAGTGACTTTGGACCTTCTGGACTCTGCCTGTTGGTCCAGCAGTCTTTCCTTTACACCTCAGTCTCTCCTAGGATATTAGGTTAGGAAAACACAAAGACAAACAACTCACTGGCTTGATCACTAGCCTTGGTAGAGGAGAGAATAATAAAATAATACCAGCTATTTGATTGATGTGCGGAAGTAGGACAAAACACATGGGATTTAGAGCCAGTCAGACTTGTCTTCCTCTTCCCGATGGCCTTAGGCAAGTTACTTAAACTCTCCGAGTGTCAATTTCCTTATATGTAAATGAGGATTATAATATGTACTTCATAGCCAAAGCTCAGTTAAACTCTGTTTGGAAAATTCTCCTCCATTACTTCATATTTGTAGATATGGACAGTGGTAGTATATAAAACGATACCATGTCTTCCTGAGCCCATGTTTATATGATCAAAGAATGGTGTTATAAACATCACGTATTGCTTTTCTTTTTATTGCCATGTCTTGGATTCATGCCCCTAGCTTTAAAATACCATAATATTTATGTATGTCAATCTCACATGGCCTCATCTAAAAAAACAACACAAAGAACTTTTGTTCCAAAAGACAAAGCTCCAAATTTAAAAATCAAGTGTCCCCTCAACTCACAAAAGCAAAAGATACTGCTTTAGTGAAAGACCTGCAGGTGTATCACATGCCATTCTAAAGTTTGTGCCTGTATGGTGCCTTAGGTTCAGAGAGATGGAGCTTCCCACAGGACAGCAAGAACAAGGGAATTTGTTTTAATACAATGGATAGATTGAGAAGTAAAAGAACTCTGGGAAGTCTTATTAAAATATCCCATTTTCATATAGGACTCAAATCAGATTAAGAAAACAACATGGTTCATAGGATACCCTGCAAGAAATTCTTGCATATGCCATCAAAAGCAAATCATTAATCACCTTTTAACATTATATGTTACAGTTTGAAAAATATTACATGACCATCATATTTTAAATCATCCTCATTATAATTCCAATGAAACTTTATTACCCCAATTTTACCAATAAGGAAACCAAACTTCCAAGATCACACGGTTAATATGGAGCAGATAAAAATTTAACCTTGTATCTTGATACCAAAACCAGTAAGGACTCATCTACTCATGATGCAGCCTCCCATTTGGGAGCGCTCTATGTGGAGGGAAAGGGAAAATGAGCATATACCATATAAAGTCAATTGTCAAGGCACCAAAGCACATTTAGTATCGAGTCCTGCTTCACTGGCAAGTGAAAAGAGAAAGAGAAGACTTTACATCTGTGGTCTAACCAGAAGGTGACACATTACTAAGCTGAGGCAGAAGGAGTGCTCGATGCAGGGTTACCATCAACACTTTCTCAGCTCTCCCCAGTGAAGTTTCAGAGATGCAACATCCTTGGGCAAGCTATCGAAACACAAGCCACAGAAACAACAGAGGTCAGCACCATTGAATTTTCGTGAAGTGGCCTTCATCAATAAGTCTCATGTTAAGCAGTAGAAAAACTGAAGCCTTCTAGCTAGAAAGTTTACCAGCCCTCTTCACGTGGTTTGAGTATCATGTGTCCCAGTAAATCGTGAGTATTTCCTAATGCAATGGAGTTCTCCCCTGGACCCATAAAGACATCTGGGACAACTGACAAATCCCACTCTAGCGTCTTGGTAATGAAGCCAGTTATCCTTGGCTGCCTCTGTGTGTTTTATGACTGCTGACCCAGAACCTGGCAGGTCTGCATCGTTTGTCAAACCACCCATCTTCTCCCAAGAAAAATGTTCTCATCTCCAGAAGCAATTTCAACCAAAAATAAAGAAACCTGCATAATCAACCTCTAAGTTATAAAACTTCAACCTATTAATTAGAAGCTATGCAAAAGCAAGACTTGCCAGACCTAGTTGGGACTAGGATAGAATAATTGATAATTTCTACTATATTTTGGGAAAAACAAGAGGGAACAAATGAAGCCAAAAAAAAAAGAGAGAGAGAGAGAAAGAGAAAGAGAGTGGAAAGAAAAATGATGGGGAAAAAGGAAAAGAGCAGAAAAGAATGGAGGGACATGAGAAATGAAGAGAGCAAAGAGACTTGTTTCAACAGGTTTTTCACAAACCATGGTATCTTTTGAATTGACCACTGCATCCTAGGACAACTTTTAGGCAACATAACTCTAGATGATGATTCTAACATTATGAACAAAAATTCCAACCCATTGGCATTAGAATTGCTAAGACCAATGTAAAGATGCCTCTTAATACTAGATATTTCACAAGTGCTACAGTGCAAATGGGCAACATGATAGGCTGTTAAAACTCCCACTAAGACCATAACTGGGTAACTCTTTAGCCCGGTGGTCCCAGATGTTCTTTTTGAACAGGGGGTGTTATCTTGAAAAAAACATGTGGATTGAGGACATGGGTTCAGCTCTTAGCACTACAATTCCCAAATCTTTTGCATTAGAAGTTGTATGAAATATACATTTTTCTGTTTCTCTTTTCACAGGTCTTGACCTTGGTTGTCCCTAAACCACTGTGAAAAGGTTAGGAATTATTTTGTCTACACTTTGTGCCTTTTGGTAAGTTTTATGTGGTGGTGGAGGTAGGTGTAGTGAGAGGATTACTTATACTAAGATTTGTTTAAATTAAACAATGTCATTATCTTAAACATGATTATTAGGAAGTCTGTCCCCAAAAGCAATTGAAATGTTAGATTAGGCCAAAGGCATTAGATGACAAATATGGCAATTCCTCCACCGCCATCATCAAATCCCGTATGACGAACATTTTTAAATGCACTCTCTCACCTGCCACCCTAAGATACCTATCAAGAATACAACATATTCCATGGCTTATGAATGATTTGGTTGTCTCATTAAAGTAATGTTTGCCAGTATTTAATTGCTTCCCTCCCTGATTTTAATTTCCTCACCTGTCAGCATTTATCAGAGGCACTGAGATCTTCTGACATCCTGGCTGATTGTGTTGAAATTAATCAGATTTTTAAAAAGTAAATTGCTTTGGCCTAAAGGTAATGCTCAACTTCTTCATGTGATATTTATAAGGTTTCTATCAATGGAACTTATAATCTAGAAATTAAATGAAAGATTTTAGGAATCCTAAGCAAAAATATGAGTAGCTTACAAATTTCCTAGACTTTAAAAGATCAAGACTTTCATGGGCCGGCCCCGTGGCTTGGCGGTTGAGTGCGTGCGCTCCGCTGCTGGCGGCCTGGGTTCGGATCCCGGGCGCGCACCGACGCACCGCTTCTCCGGCCATGCTGAGGCTGCGTCCCACATACAGCAACTAGAAGGATGTGCAGCTATGGCATACAACAATCTACTGGGGCTTTGGGTGGAAAAAAATAAATAAATAAAATCTTTAAAAGATCAAGACTTTCAAAAAAATTCAATCAACAAGTGCTTATTGAACATATAGCACTTGCCAGCAATCACTTTTGGGTAAACAGAAGAGTAAAACATGAAGCTACCTCAGAAGTTTGAAGAAGGTAAAAATTAATTAATTAAGCTGAACTCACCTTGACTGAAGTAGCTGACAATCTGGTCACTCAAAAGGTGCATTTTGTATTTACAATTGTGACCAGTTACATACATTATGCTCTCACACAGATTAATGGTTTTACTCTTCACCTCAATCCAGTGAAGTGAAATTGGTGTTATTGTTAATAATAGTAGCAATATTCCCATTTGAAAAATGACAAAGCTGAGACAAAGAGTGGTAAAGGGACTCTTCCCTAGACAACTGATTATGGGCAGACCTGGTCTTGTGATCTAAATAAAAACAGAAAACACAGCATGATCGCTTTGGAATAAAGAGAGAAAAAAATTATTTGCAAATCCTCCACACATAATTATTCAGTGCTAATTCTTGTGCTAATATCTATCAGTAACGGTGCTTAAGACAGCCAGGAGACTCATAAGCACTAAGCTGTTCTATAAGAAGTAAATGAAATGACGGCTAGAGAAATACCTTGTAATGTGTCCTAACATCATGAGATTATTTTTCTATACTTGTTACTATTTCTACTTTGGAATATGGAAATATGCATTCATGCAGTAATTAGATCCCAAAAGTGAGCCTATCTTTCAGTTATTCTGTTGGTTCTAAAGCCCCTAAATTAAACAGAATGAAAAAGGTTGCATGCATGCAATTGGGGGGGCAGGGAATTCAAGGGTAACACATGGAATTTAGAGGTTGGTTTTCACAAAAATGGCTTTATAACCAAACATAACCAAATCCTAGTAGGGTCTTATCTTTCCAGTGGGCTCTGAGCCCCAACTTATCCCTTAAAGTGTCTCCCCTGCTGTCAAGTTTTTCCTGACCCAGAAAGTTTGGGTGAAACAGCCTTTCTGAAGACCACCATAATGCCTGGTTCCATACCTAGATCACTAAAATTACCACAGTCTTATCACTTTTATTTGATTGTATGCCTCAAAGACAGAAATCTTGTCTAACTCAGTTTCTTGAATCCAAACCCCCAATCGAGATTCTGGTCCTTAGTAGGTAGTCAGGAAAATGTTTATTGAATGAATGCACAAACAAATGAAAAAAGTGGTCTGTGTAATTCCTATAGCACCTCACTCAATGCATGTCATATAAGAAGAGCTTAGTAAATGTTGGTTG